GAACACACCAAGTACATGCCTAACCCATCTCCAGTAAGGGATTAAATTGAAGGTCACATGAATACCAATTAGAAGTTAAATTATTGACTTACAAGTGAATAATACATCAGCAATGTTTTTTTACCTTAATTTGACAAATTTGGGCCAAACTGACTGAGTGCTTATAATGAAATGTTATTTCAAAATTCGGCTTTTATTAATTATTGAAACAAAAAGAATCGTATTTTAATTTTTTGTCTAAATCGTAGCTAATGCCCCTTTAAACTATAGAAGATAGAGAGAAACTTAAACTATAGAAGATAGAGAGAAACTTAAACTATAGAAGATAGAGAGAAACTATAAACAGAAAAAATGATCTGCAATACAAGTCTAATAATAATAATAAAAAAAAAATGATTTTAGTCATGAATTATATTCTAGTCAACAATGTTAGAGAGACTGTTGAAGATGTGCATAGACCTAGGTGTAGAACCTTGCTTGTTTTTCTATTCATTGTTTTAATGTTGTCAAGGAAGGCGCTGTGATGCAGTCCAACTGTCATAGATGTTGCATTTTATAAGGAAGTAAAAGCTATCTTTTGGAATCCCTCTGCCAATCAAAATTATGGAATCCTATGAAACTTCTTAATGTAATGTAATTATTTATATATGTTAACTTTGTTAACTGAATAACCACCCATCGTTTTGTAGCTTCATGATATAAATATTAATGTACAAAAATACTGAGAAAATCTAAGTACATTTTTTCCAACAGTGACTTACTCACCTGATATGGTTTTTAATTGTGTTCTGTAAATAGAATTTATTAGTTAAATAGCTACTGTTATATTGACAGTTTGGTCTTTGCTTACATCCCAAGCCTAATATAAAATGATTTAATATCAAATTTTCTACTTTTATTACAAAATATGAATCTTTAAAAATTCTAAATCCATACCTTTATATTTAGAACTGAATACATTATACTTATTTCTTCAACCTGGTTTCGATAATTTATTCATTGAATTGTGGATAATCCTACTCAGTTTTCAGCTATTTTAAATGCAAAAATGGGACTGTAAAAGACTTAAATGTTAAATCAGGTCAAAATAAATTGTATAATGATCTAAATTATAATAACTTTGAAGTCTTTGTGAAGGAATTGTAAATTGGTCATTTAAAGGACACTTAACTGAATCTATTCTGTTTTTATAGTTAACTTTATACTCTCTTATATCCTAGTGTTGTGGTTTGAGAAAAAAACTAGGTGATAGTTGTAGCTAGGTAAAATATCATTAGATATACTTTAGCAGTACATTTACATGTTTAGCATGTCATGACAAAAAATGGTGTTCTTTACAAAATTATAACTTTATGTAATATACCAAAACAGGATCCTGTTTAAAAACACGAAGTGGAATTATTGCACTTTTATTATGTGACTGGTCCTGATTCAATATCTGTGGAGTTAAAGCAATCTGAAGTATTTGTACTGAGAAAGAATGAAGACACAATATCTTTTCTTACTAAAAAAATATATTCATTTTGAAACCCTATAGGTGTAATACCACCATTGATTTTCCCCTATTAGTCTTTGGTAAATTTGCACTTTTCAAAAAAATGTGCAGAATTTATCTTTGTTTCAAATAAAGAAATACTTGGCATGAGTAAAGTTTTATCCTGTCCAGTACTATAGAAAAAATTTCACATAACATTTCATTGCATATAAGAAAATAACCATCACTGGAAGTTAACCAATCAAATTTTCCCCTTTTATTAACCTGTGTACAAGCTTTAGTAACCATGTAACCTCAAGTTTCCAAAATATTCTATAGAAACCCTAAATAAAAAAATAGTGGTGCTTTTAAATATCCAAGATATATGTTTATGACCCAGAAATGTTTTACTGCAATGAAATGTAGGATTAATTACCTACAACTGTCAAATTCAAGGGAATATTTTTTTTCAACCTATTTTCGTATGCAACCAGATGTGACTACTATGATTTGGTGGTATAACACCTATATTGGCCTGTTGAGAAGATTTTTACAGGCACAACAGCATTTTTACAAGCCTGGGCTTGTGGGCCTGTGGTTGAATGCGAAAACTGAGGTCCTAATTGTCTTTGAGTGATGAACAGCTTTACCTTTTCAAATACATATGTACTGACCAACTCTTGTACAACTCAACATGTATTCTGGTTTAATTGACAGTCTTTATAATTAGATATATTATAGCATATTGGTTCTAATTCTCAGGAAAAATATAGGTTACTGCAGAATTGTTTGCACATGTTTTAACAACAAAGTTACAGCAATCTACAAAGGCAATAACCAGCCTGATTAAAACCTATTAAGAAGATCTTAAATACCCTGGAAAATGATTATTGTACATAAAAAAATCCAGTGATTAAGGTCATCAGTGTCATAAAGGACAACTTGGTTATTGACCTCCTCAACTCCTGACAGATTATCACTCATACTTTATTTAAATTATCTGTTTCTCTAAAAAAAAAAATCTGATGTTAAAGTATCTAAAAATTAAAATTAGCCTCAGGGTATAAAAATAGACCTAAATCCTATATCAGATTTTAATCCCTATCATTGCTTGCCAAAATGAAGACTTAACTTAATAAATGTATAGCAACTTAACTTTAAGTGTTTCTCTCTATTCAAAATTATGACCCAATTGCAAGTTGTTTTATCAAATCAAACTGTTCAACTGGTCAGAAATTTTAACCAACTGCAAAGTCAAGTCTTTTAAGTCCAAAGTGATAAATAAAATAATTATTAACTAGTTTCCATTTTTTGTCTGACAGGTGTTTCTAGGAACCTCATGGATTTCAGATCTACTGGTCTTTGTGTTACAGTTAAATCAGTTCATTTCAGCATTTGTGACTTCCAAATGTCATACAGTCTTTATTATCCTAGAATTGGTCTTTACAGACTTGTTAATTGAATGTGTAGCTGTTCTTGTCAACCTTTATGATGATCAGTTCACTTAAGTTAAAGAGTTACAGGATCGCTTTACAGTATGTTACATTTCCATTTATGGATGTAGATAAAAGCAAAGCTGGGTGACCGGTTTTATTTTGCATCTGAATACAAATTTTATTGGTTTTCTGGTGGTTTTATTGCAAGAATAATGTCAAACTTCAGTCTTGTAAGCAATACAAGATTTGTTGTTAAATAACAATTTCTAACTAAACAATTGCATTATTACATATTTTTATTAAAAAAGAAAAGAAAGTGTGGAATGCTTAATTTTTCCCTTTGGGATCAATATTCTTCTGTCAGATGTGCCATTCATAGGTCCGTAGTCATTATCCTTAGAATCCGGATTTCATTCATAGCTGGTCCGTTATGGAGCTACCATTTGATTTTTATGGGGGGGGGGGCTAGGATGAGAAATTTTGTCCTGCATTTTTTTTAGTTGTAATCTCTGTCCTGCCTTTTTATTTTTCACTCTATTCAGTCCTGCCTTTTTTTTTATAAGTTTATCCTGACTTTTTTTACATAAATTGTCATCCCGCCTTTTTTTTTTGCCAAGTTGCTCATCCTGCCTTTATTTTTTACTCAAAACTCCTGTCCTGCCTTTTTTTTTTTTAATTTCATCCTAGCCTCCCCATAAAAATCAAATGGTAGCTCCCTTACCCGACTCAGATCAATAGTTTGTACATGTATATATTTCAATGGCGGACGAGAAAATTTACAAAAATAAACGTTGTTTGAAACGCTATTTGGAAGGGAATATGACGTTTTTAATGCAATGAATGGATTACAAATTAACTTAAGGCAACTTTCATCACTTCTAATGGGTTAACAAACTTTTTTTGCCGACAGTTAAAATTGTTTGAAGTACGCTCTCGAGGTGTATACCATGTCAATAGTAATATAGCTTTGAAATGACGATACTGATGGTTAAAAAGGTCGGCAAAGTTAATTTTTATTTTCTTTCGAATCGAAGGTCCGTCAGGCGTAGCTAGTAACCAAAATGAAAGTCCAATTGCAATAGTGGAAGGTCAAGGAACTCGGACCACCGCTAATTTGAACCCCTGTTCCTCACCAGTCTCTGGACTGGTCACTCAATACAGTTCAGGATCTGTTTGGGTCTCCTTTGTTTAGAAGTCACAAACGTACACATAAACAGTGAAAACAAATAAGGTATCTAAGTACAGGGAAAAACTCACAATGGGAAAGGAGGGGGGGGGGGGGGGGGGGGAATGGGGTACATTTAGTTAAATATATTATTAATCAAAATAGAAATACTATCAGATGGGGTACTGATTAATTGTAACTCCACAACATACAAATGTGGTGTTGGATTACAGTTGGGGCATGTCTGCCTCTCGGACGTCAGTCCATATTTGGTCAGGAGACTGACTGAAACCAATGGGAAAGTGGCTCTCATGGTGACCAGTCACATGACTTATTAAGAAATTGTTTGAAGCAAAGTGCGCTCACTTCACTTTCAATTTGGCATGGCTGTGAGCAGCAAGGTTTCAAGCAGAAAGTATTTTTGATTTCCCACCCACCTCACCTTGTTTATTGCATTTTATTATGCCCCTGCCGTAGCGGTGGAGGCATTAAGTTTTACCGTTGTCCGTCTGTACGTACGTCAGTCCATACATCCGTACGTCCCAAAATTGGTTTCCGTTCTCTAACTTAAGTTTGCCTCAACTAAATGTTATGAAACTTATACACAATGCTTATTATAACAAAACACAGATCAAGTTTGAATTTTGGTGGCGTCACTTCAACCGTTCTAGAGTTATGCCCCTTTAAAAATAGAAAAATTGTAAAATTTTGAGTTTCTGTTCTCTAACTTAAGTTTGCCTAAGAGTTATGTTTGGATTAATAAGTGTACCTATATAAACCTTTGATTATAAGTGTACCTATATAAACCTTTGATTATAAGTGTACCTATATACACCTTTGATTATAAGTGTACCTATATAAACCTTTGATCTCTTTAATGGAAACCAAACCAGTTTACATTTGAATGTTTTTCCTTTTTTTCTAGGATGTAACCAGGTATGCCATTCTTCATGTTGGGATGTAGAAGTAAAATCCAGTTGTACTAGAGGAAATCCAGCACCCAGTACTCCAGTACACAGTACTTATGTGGTATGTACTCATATTGTCTTGGTCAGTTAATAGCAAGACCCCTGTCTATTTTTTTTTATGCCCCCACCCTTGTCTGTCTGTACATCCGTCCCATATACTTCCCAAAATTAGTTTCCATTCTCTAACTTTAGTTTGCCTAAATCAAATGTTATGAGACTTATACACAATGCTTATAAACACAAAACAAAGATAATTTGGGTAATGCGTCACTTTCACCGTTCTTGAGTTGTGTTCCTTAATAAATAGAAAAATTGCTTAATTTTTCGTTTCCGTTCTCTAAACCTTGCCTCACCTAAATGTTATGAAGCTTATACACAATGCTTACTACCACTAAACTCAGATCAAGTTTGAATTTGGTTGGCGTCACTTATACCGCTCTGGAGTTATGCTCCTTTATAATTGCTGAATTTTTCGTTTCCATTCTCTAACTTTAGTTTGCATCAACCAAATGTTAAGGAATAAAACCACTAATTCATAGCCCCATTGCTCTCTATGTTAAATTCTGCAATTTCAAGCATTAATGGCTACTTTTTCTTAACTTCGTCTAAATAAAGTGGCAGTTCATTTCATGTCAAAACTATACCTTATCCTGACTTGTTCTGAAAAATTCAACATACCTTTAATTGCATATTAGAGCGTACTGGTTCCCGCAAGTTTGATAGCAGAAAAACAGGTACTTCTGATCTGAACAACAGGGCAAATGTGCTCTCCTATTATAATTTTATATACTTTTTTATTATTCAAAAGAAAGTTTCAACAAAGGTTCTACAGTGATCCCAAGTCCTCAAGCTTTCATTTGATACCACAACTACCCAAATATTTCACCTATTGACAAAGATACAGCTATACGTAGGAACTATTTTTTTAAAAATATGTACTACTTTCTTGTATGTTCTTTCTGATCTGGCCCAAATTAATGGTTCTATACCTATAAGAAACTTATACACAATGCTTATTCTCCATTTATTTGACATTGTTTGAAAAGGTTCCAAATTTTTTTTTTTAAAGAAGCATTTATGAGATTCATATAGCTGCAAATTACACATTAAATTCAAGTAACCAGATTTTGAGCAATGAATTATTGAGAATGCCTGATCCTGCACTATATAAGGGTTCCCCTGTTCATTTTTATTATGTATGGGTTTCTAAGGATATGCTATTTCAATTTTGGAGGTTTGAACAGTTACAAATAGCAATAATGTTTGTTATTAAAAAATTGTATTAAGTAGATACACCAAGGTAAACCAAGATTATGTTGCCTGCTTGGAAACCACTTAGAAGAAGTTTCATGCAGTTTAAAGGCCCATTTAGCTGTCATAGCACTATAGACAACTTTCGAATTCCTGTAAATTTACCATGTCACAATGCATATGTTATTACTTCACAGTAAAAACGAATTGTTTGATGACATTATTTACTTGGGTCAACCGGTTTAACTCATTCATAAAAAACAACTCCAGATTTGTATATATTTTTTTTTAGATCAAAATATTTGTAACATATAAGTGCATAAATAATAGATTAGTTGCTATTTTTTGATAGTGTTGATTTTAAATATCATATTACTGAGTCCTTTGTTCTTATAGATGAAAACCAGTAAAGTATAACTGTCTACTAGACTAAAGGTCCAATAAACTGCCCAGCCCCTTTGTGAACTTTGGAATCAATCAGTATTAATACTTAAAATAAAGCTTTGTGTCCAAATTCCAACAATTGGTTAGCCAAACAATTTCATTAGCAACTTTCCTTTAAGAACTGTAGATCAAGGACTGTTTTCAAATACATTTGTTATTCACTAGTAGGAAACATGAGAAAAGGTGTAAAATGAAAGCTGCTTCTTGTGTATCTGACTTCTAAAGCCTAAAACTTATGTATTAAATCATATTCCCCTTTCTCACTGACTTGTGTCTCATTGTCACCTAGTCACAAGATTCATGAAATTCTTAAAGCTTTCATTCCGGAGGGTCTGAATATATTTTGTTTTAAATACTAAAATAGAGTAGTTATTGAAAAGTTTTGACTGAGACATGTAGTTACAGTCACCAGGTAGGTGTGATGCATGGAACTACTTGTTACCTTACGTCAACCTTTCCACCCTCGCTTAGATTTATAGAGACATATATTGTCTATAAATGGTATACTGTTAGAATCTGACAGGTTTATCTCTACAGATTCTAATAATGTCATAGTTTTTCATCATACTACTAGAATGGTAAGTTTGTATTTAAATGCATATTTTCATTTCTCTTGATATTTCAAAAAATATTTAAACCAATATTTATTTTGCAGCAGTTTCAGTTAATTACTTTTATTATCATAATGCCATAGGAAATTTACATTAAATACCTATTTGAGCATTGCAGATGCTTCAAAAGATTCATGGGAATGCTATTAATAGATTTTGAATGCACGGATGTTTGAAATTTTTTGGACAAAGAGAAACAAAAAATTAATAAGAGATACAGGTTGGAATATATCAATGAGACAATAACCCAACAAAACAAACAATCTGAACATAAACATGTTTAATGTGTTTAACTCATACCACATCTTCCTATATCTATTAGACCTTGTAAATATATGATGATATATGACACAACATGTTTTACTGAGAATAAAGGTCCCTTTGTACTCAGTTATCTTTTATGATTTACTGAAATTAGTTCAATTTTCAAATTATTCAAGTGTAAAACCATTTTGATGAGATTTTAATGCTGTAGCTTTTTACTTGTTTTGTGTTGGATCCTATTTATAGCAGCTATGGTTTATGATTTTGTATGAATTCAAAAGAGAATAAAATGCCTTAAATATACATGAGGGTTTACAGACTGTGAATATTATGTTCAGTTTTTACATGTTTGATGGATGAAAATGACATATTTGAATAAATTTTCATATTTTTAGACTGAATGAAATCTATTTTCAATAATTAAAATGATTTATATGTGCCTCCCATGATTCACCTTGTAACAATAGGCATGCTAAATAGTATGTTCTTATACAAGTTGTTAATTAATTCACAGATTATAACTTTCCATAGAAGGACAGAAATATCTTTCTTTTGAATTAAACATGATTGCTCTCCTTTTTTAGCTCACCGGGGCCCTTTGGGCCCATTTGAGCTTATGCCATCACTTGGCGTCCGTCATTGTCTGTCATCGTCGTCTGTAGTCGTTGTAAACTATTTCAAGAATCTTCTCCTCTGAAACTTCTAGGCCAAATACCTTCAAACTTTAAGAGAATGTTCCTTAGGGTATCTAGTTTATAAATTGTATCCGATTTTTTTGATCCATCAACAAAAATGGCACCATGGCTAAAAATAGAACATCGGGGTAAAATGCAGTGTTTGGCTTATATCTCAAAAACTAAAGCACTTAAAGCAAATCTGATATGATAAAATTGTTCAATAGGTCAAGATCTATCAGCCCTGAAATTTTCAGATGAATCCAACAACCCATTGTTGGGTTGCTGCCACTAAATTGGTAATTTTAAGGAAATTTTGCAGTTTTTGTCTCGCCTGCGACAGTGAGACATAGGTGTTACTATCCGGCGGTGGCGGCGGCGTAAACTATTTGTATAAAGCTTTATATTTCAGAAGGTAGAAGACCTGGATGCTTCATACTTTGTATGCAGATACCCTATGTTACGAACTTTCCGTCTGTCATATGTCCAATGTCCTTGACCTTATTTTCATGGTTCAGCGACTGCTTGAAAAAAAAGTTTAGTTTTTTTGTTATGTAAATTTCTCACTTATTATGAGTAATAGGATAACTATATTTGGTATATGGGTTCCTTGCAACGTTTACATGTCCATCAGACAGGGTTCACCTGACCTCAGCCTCATTTCATGGATCAGTGATCAAGGTTAAAGTTACGTGATTAGGTCCGTTTCTCAGATACTACAAGCAGTAGGTCAGCTATATGTGGTGTATGGAATGATTATAAGGGATACATGTCAGTCTGGCAGGTTTCATCTGACCTTGACCTCATTTTCACGGTTCATTGGTCAATGTTAAGTTTTTGTGTTTTGGTCTGTTTTTCTAATACTATAAGCCATTGGTCAACTATATTTGGTGTATGGAATGATTGTAAGGTGTACATGTCTGTCTGGCAGGTGTCATTTATGTCCTTGACCTATTTTCATGGTTCATTGGTCAATGTAAAGTTTTTGTGTTTTGGTCTGTTTTTCTAATACTATAAGCAATAGGTCAACTATATTTGGTGTATGGAATGATTGTAAGGTGTACATGTCTGACTGGCAGGTGTCATTTGTCCTTGACCTCATTTTCATGGTTCATTGGTCAATGTTAAGTTTTTGTGTTTTGGTCTGTTTTTCAAATACTATAAGCAATAGGTCAACTATATTTGGTGTATGGAATGATTGTAAGGTGTACAAGTCTGTCTAGCCAGTATCATCTGACCTTGACCTCATTTCCATGGTTCATTGGTTAACATTAAATTTTTGTGTTTTGGTGTGTTTTTCGATTACCATAAGCAATGGGTCAATTATATTTGGTGTATGAAATAATTGTAAGGTGTACATGTCTGTGTGACAGTTTTTATCTGACCTTGACCTCATTAATTGTCATGGATCTTTAAGAATGTTAAGTTTATGTGATACTTGTAGTAAAACCTTTATCTTTAAGACTTTCAACATAGAATTAATGGTCAGTAAAACAGGCGAGACATTTCAGCGTGTGCACTCTTGTTATACGTTTTGCGTCATATAATGCTATGATATCAGCATCGGCGTCGGCATCGTCCGAAGACACATTTGGTTTCCAGACAATAACTTTAGTTAAAATGAATGGATCTCTATGGAATTTTACCAGAAGGTTCAATACCACAAAAGGAAGGTTGGGATTGATTTTGGGGGTTATGGTACCAACAGTGTAGGAATGAGGGGCCAAAAAGGGTCCAAAAACGACCATTTTTGTAGTTTCCGGAATAATTTGTGTGTAAGTGTATGGATCTCTCTGAAATTGTACCACAAGGTTCCA